CTTTACGTAACTCTGTCCAAGATTCCACAGCAGCGAGCGGTAGAGCTGGGATTCCAAGCCATGTCTAATCTGGCTTCAAATCCTTTGTTCTTTCTGCCAAACCGGGGCAAACCGTGAACTGCAGGCCGGCTCCAGCCCGCCGCCCGTTTTTCAAACTCAGCAGCTTTCATGCTACCACAGCAGAGTTGAGTCGTTGGGACGGAGACCTGTACAGAAAACATTTGCCAACCCCTGCACTGAACCTGTAGGATAAACAAAAGGCAGCAACTCCTATCTCTGTCTAGCAGGGTCTAGCTGGAAAGGTAGTCACTCACACTTTAGTATGAATTAGTCATCACTGTGATAGTTCACAGAGTCAGAAACAGAAGGGCCTTTATAGAATCACCTAATCCAACTGAGATTGAATGAGGCCTTCCAATGTGACTCAGTCCGAACATCAGAGTAGCTGGTCTCTATGGGCTCTGGGAATCCAAAACCTTTCCATGGCCTTGACTCCTGAAAGCATTGATCCATGCAGACCCACCTTCACTGTCCTGTTTGAGACCTTGTGACAGTAATCTTCCCAGTCCCCTGCAACAAGCCCTCACTTGGCGTCCAAATCCTCAGAGCCCAACTGTCCTTTCCCTTGGCCACTTGTGAGGACTCCGCTGATTCCTGCCCCACTTCATGTCCAGGGGGCACCAGACTCAATGAGGAAAGCACAGACTTTGTCTTTCAGTGGCCACATGTCTCTGGGTAGGTCACTTCTCAACTCCAACTCTCAATTCCCTCATCTGTCCAGTAGACACATTGTTCTCGGTGCTTCCTAGCTTGCAGGATAATTGTCAGGAAAACATTTGATGAGGGGTGGGTTAACATGCAAGGTCATTATAGTGCTGAGTGATGGAGAAATTCAGCCCTAGAAATGAAAAAGCAAAACTAGATAACTTACCTGGTGTCACTTGGAACCCGCTTCTCATTTAAATAAAAATATGTATCAGTCTCAGAGCTAGAATTACAGATTTAACCCTCTTCAGTCTCCTGCTCCATGGATTATAAAAAGAGTTACTTGGGTGAAAGGTGGGCCACTATGACCAGAAGCTTCTTTACTAGCTGTAGGCTGATCATAGGCAAACTTATTTGTCCTACATAATTCCTAGCATGTTACTTTCATGGCAGAAAGAACTCCACTACCAGATGCATGACACAGGAAATATCCTTTATTATTCTGTACAGTTATTTTTCCATGAAGAGAACAGCTTGTAAAATAAACCCACGCCAGACATAGACACCTGCATGACATTGAAACCGTCCGTGACACAGAGAGGGCACCACTGACACAGTCCTTATTTACAAAGAAGTGGAGAAGCAGAGGGACCAGGGCGGGCACCCCAAGAACAAGTTCGCATGCACCCGGATTTTAGTGACTTCTCGATTGCAGCAAGAGCTCTGTGCACATCCGCAGACCTGTGGATCCCGGGACTTACAAGGACGTGACAATGTGTTTCCTTCAAAATCTAAAACAAAAGGGTTGGACTTTATAAAACCAAATGTTTCTGGCATCCGTTGGAGAAATCCTGGAGAAAGAGGAAGTCCCGAATGTCTCCAAAAAATGAAAATTCGGGAAGCCAGAAATCTGACATTTCTCTGCTCCACAGGTTATTAGTCCCCGGGTGGTTTGAGAAAGTCCTATCATAAATGATGTGCTTCCTTCACTGTAAATTTAGCACGAGGACATTGTCATGGAGACGTGAAATTTTGTTCATTAGATGGGACCTTTGGTTATCTGATACGACCCTTGCTCTTAGAGACAAAGAACACTGAAGTTCAAAGAGATGAAGCCACTCTCCCCAGGAACCCAGCTAGTCAGCTGCAGACTCAGGTCTGTGCAACTCTAAATGCTGTTCCCACCACACCACACTCCCTCTCTGTTCTTCTCCAGTCTTCGGCTTTCAAAGGAAATAAACGAACAAATGAAACAAGCTCGGTAGGCTCCCTTACTAAGAAATGACTTCTTCGGAAAGAATGCTTCAGTGTGACATTACCAGGGCTGCAAAATGGGTCAGACAGCAAGAGACTGGCTCCCACCTGGCGGGAACCCCCTCTGAGAATTAAGGCA